AATTATAAAAATTAAGAAAAAGAGAATTTTGCATAATCAAAGAAAGATTATCGAATTAGAGAAATTTATGTTACTACGGTAATAATACTATTAAATATTAATTATATAATCTTTAAACAATATAAAAAGAAAATATTACTAGTTATTTATTATATATTTATATTAGTAATCAATAATATTCTCCTGAATTCAATCAGCTTTGACATAAATTGCAAAGAAAAATTGGTAACTAAATATGTACATGTATTTATAATAAATAATTCTTATAACTTTATTTAAAATTTAATTAAAAATTCTTTATAAATATTTATTATTTAGATATTAATTAAAAGTAATAAGTCAATAATTCAAATAATAATAGAAAATATAGTAAAAAAAGAAATCAAAAAAAAGAAGAAAGTAATCCAAAAAAAGTGTTAAAAGTTATGCAAAAAAATTATTAAAGAGAAAGAAAAGAATAAGGTGATTATGATTAAAAATGATAATAGTGACAAAAATAATGATTATAATAATTTTGTAAATTTTTTTAATATAATATTTTTTGCAATTTTTTTCTTTAAAATCTGATAAAGAATTATTTTTTAAAAAAAAGATCACTAATTTAAATTACATATATATATATATTTATATAGTTTTTTATCAATTTTATTATTAATATTTACAATAAGCTATATTTATTACTTATTAAATATCAAATTTTATTGTTTTATAAAATTGAATAATGCTATTATAAAGTACTATTATAAATACTATTATAAAGTTCTGTACAGAATTTTTTTATAGATCATTGCCAAATTTAAAGATCTTTAAAAAACTTCAGACTCTTTGATATTATCTAATAAAGTAATTTTAAATTATATTAAATTTATTAAAATATATTATTTTGAAATTATTAAATATATATTTTTATTTTGATTAATTTTATTATTTTTGATATTTTTTAATATAAGACAAAAGATTTTTTTAATCTTAAAAAACAGTGTAAATATTTTTATTATAATTAATTATTATTATATTTTAATAGTAAAATACTTGATACTAATATTAAAACATCAAAGTAATTAATTTATTTTCTCTTTTTTATTTATATTCTGCAATTTCTTTTTATTCAACTTTTTTTTACTTTACAAATTAAACAATAAATAATTCCAGTAAGAATTGGTATAAAACTTAGATGCATCATCTTTTATTATTATTGTTTTATTATTTAATTTCTTCTTTTAACTCTTGTTCATGTTTGCAAACTAATTCACCAACTAGTAAGCAAATCTGTAACAATATATATGTGTGTTATCTGAGTGATCAACATTAGGCCAGAGATATATATGTTATCTTTAAAATTATAATACATGAGACTAACCAAGATTTATTAAAGAATTTGAAGACAATTGAGCTAGAAAGATTGTTCCATTCACCAGTTAAAGCGAAATTGAGACAGAGTTATCGATGTTAGATAGTTTGTTAATTATATTTCTTTGGATTTATAATATAATTTTAGGTGTGGAACTGGACATAGCTTTTGGTAACAAGCTTTCTTTAAAATTTTGTATTTTTTTTCTAGGATATGGCGCGAAAATATCACAAATCCAATTTGAAGGAATTATAATTTCTGCATTTTCCACATGGTAAGACGAACAACTAAATCAGACGGATGGATTGAGATAGTGGAAGGTGATAATATATTACATCTAGTGGAAATGCTACGCAACGTATCGCAGGTGTTGGTAAATCAGAAGGTCTGAATTGCCAAATTTGCGAATCTATTCCTTATCGTTATCTTAAAAAACACCAAAGCTTTCTCCGGAATTATAAATCTATTACTTTAGCAAGGCTGGAAAAATTATTCTTAAGATATATCTCAACTAATCTCTTTAAGAATATCTTCTGAACATTATTAAACGTATTTAATTTTATATTAGCAAATGTTTATTTTATAATATATTATCTATAGAGTAAGATATGAGATAAAGTTTGTATTCAACGTTAGGGCATAAATATATAAATAGTAATGTCACAACAATAAAGTCTTAAATTGAGATTACAATATGGTTGTTAATAATGATGACGCCAAGTCTACGTACTATGATAAATTTTTATGATGTAATTTTATGATATAATTTATCGAGATAAGAGCTGAAAAGATTTTTCTAGCGCATGATAACGACAAGCTATTTAATAGTGTTCGGTATACATGTAGTCGTGAAAATTTTTCCACTTTTTTTTTGATGCATTATAAAGAGAATGTATTTGCTATTTTTATAGAAGAAATTTATTTGATCTATGTATATACTTTGAAATATCCAATGGTCATTCAATCTCGTTTTCTCTTATTAGTTGCGACGTTCTTTCCCTTGGTAGACTTTGTAGAAGTGGTTTCAGCATGCGTGGTGGTGATCTTTGAATAGTCGTGAGCTCGTTTTTGTATTGTTGATCGAGTACTTTCGATATACTTGACGACATTGGATCCTGCACGAACATTGATAGTATTTGTAGCAATGATATCTAATTCTTTAGTATTGTTGGTGGTCCCGTCATCGTCGTCAGTCATTTCAACATCGTCGTCCGATGCGGAGTCGGTCATTTCAACATCATTGTCACCTTCAGGTGCTGAATCAGTCATTTCATCATCTGAACCTTTCACTTCCCACATTGAGAGAGAAGTTCCATCGGTCTTCCTTGTAATGGATGCTTGCATGGCATGGCTAAAATACAAACAAAAAAAATAATTTAATAATGACGACGTAAATAAACACTTGAATGAACTACGATTACATACCTAAATTCCCAGATGATTTTACGTCCTCGAAAATATTTTGATTTTTATCAAAAAAACGAGGTTTTTTGGTAGGTGGTTCACAAATTTTTTTCAATTTTCTTATCGAGGAAACTAGGATTGCACAAGCGGAGTTTTTCAGTGAGTGGTTCGAAGACCTTCCTCAAACGAGGGTTTTTTAATAAGTGATTCGCGAAAATCTTCCTTGATCTTCTTTTTACGACTAAGAACCCCTAATGTGTACAAATTGGAAAACGCTCTCACTTACTTTTTATTTTTTGAAGACACTGTTCAAATCGCGGCAAGCCTCGAAATTTGTGGTTTTTTGACTCGCCATTTTTTCTTTACTGTCCTCAACATACTTTCAACTTCTTTACCGCCTAAGATCCCAAGCCTTAAGCTGACAATAAGAAATTTATCTTCCTTTTGAAAGAGCGGTGCCTCATCGTATAACGTTTTCCCACAACTAGTTACGAGACGTTGATTATCAATTGGAATGAAGATACGCGACGCGATGACACTTTTTAAGTCTTGGATGGTGACAAGTATACTCGAATTAAATGGTATACATAGCGGAGAAAGGTCACCGAATAGGTTTATTATGACTTGACGTTGGCTGATTGCTTCCATACTTTTGTGATTAAATGATTTTTTTTGTGTTAAGAGAAAATTGTTTGGGATATCGTTACTTTGATTGTGTTAAGAGAAAATTTTTAGCTTGAATTGTTCTTTCGGTCTTGTTAAGAAATTTTTTGTTCTTTCATTACTTTGAATTGGACTATCACAGATAAGGAATTGATAAACTAAGACGAAACGAAAAATCCGCATTAACATTAAATATCTAGATAATTGAGATGAATATAACAATAGTTGCCATGAATTAATTATTACTTATATTCATAAGTTGACTTTCTAAACATTATACATGTAAGACAAAAGCTGCATAATATTTACTTTGCTTAAAGAACAATCTGGAACTTTGATAGTCAAATTTTTATTTGTTTTACTATCGAGAACATGTATCAATAAACTACTTTTTGTTTAGAATTTTTTGCTACCATTGGCATAAAAGCTACCAAGCAAGAAACACTTTTCTTACAATTTGCCTTTTTGTGCCATAGAATCATTAACGAGCTCGGATCATTTAAAAAAAAATGGGTGGCGTTCCTGCCTATCGTGGAAAATCTAATATGGAAATCATGTGTCACTAAAAGTGTACATGTTGTAAAGTATAATTATTATTACAATCTATTTTTTATTATAAGCTGATGTGCATAAGAAACAGATAATATCGATATACAGTGTGTTATATAATACATTAGACCATAGGGAATCAAAGGACTATCGGTATATTTTAAATATACATGTCCTCAAACAAAATATCTATTAACATGTTCATATACATTAGGTTTTGTCCGGTAACTTGTTCGACATGTCCAGTGGTCATATATGATGTATGATGATGTATTTTGAATAACACGGGAGTACTATAGGCAGTATATTTTTTTATTAAAAATCTATAAGAAATAAGTAATTATGACTTCGTAGTAATCAGCTGTTAGACAACAAATATGCACTTCAACACGCTCACACATAGAAAGAATGGATAACTTGAATCATTCAACCGAGAATATCTTTCTGACTTTAATTACCAAAAGATAAACATAACGATAATACGTAATTAGTTTTTGTCGATTAACGATCAACTTTTTTCCCACAACTTTCTATCATCTATGAGTGATAATTACGTTATTGTATACTATACAAGATGACGCAAATGATAGAATGGTAAGAAATAATATTATTAATACAAGGTACTATATCGATATAGATTATCTTATTTAGTCGAAAACAATATAAAAGAACCTCACACACCACGGACAAAAAACCATAATTTCTTTTCAATTACTAGAAATACAAATGGATAAGTCATTCCTTTACAAAACGCAATAATTCTCATTTCCATCTCCTAATTTTCCATCTCCCGTTTTTCTATATCAATTCCCTTTTATTGTGTATATATTCACATGATCTCAATGAGTAAAACTGCATGCATTCGTAATTTGTTTTCATTAAAACATAAAGGGACTCGAGACGCTTCAATGGTTTGGTTGAGACTGCTTGCTGTGATGGTTGGGGACAGTATAGCTGAACTTTTTATATATAGCATTAAAGCGTTAAACTATTAAAATTCTTCAGTTTGATAATTCCCTTTAATATCGTAGTTCCCTTTAAAATCATTAATTTCGTCGAAATATTTGAAAGACACGACCAAATTTTTTTCCTACGACACACCAAACGTCCGAGATTTCTGGCTGCTATGCTGACTAAAATTTGTGAAAAAATATATGCCTTTGTTCAAATGATTTGATTCAAGCGACTTTACTTTGATTGTGTCGTTGAATTGGTGTCTTATGGAATCGGACATTTTTAAATGAGCAATGGTGGGGCTTGTAAATATGCATGGACTTTGTAAATAATTTGTTGAACATTATACATGGACTTTTCGTAGATAGATTATAAACATACATGGACTTTTCGTATATAGTATCAGGGTATAGTATCAGGGCATAATTTCGAAGCACAAATTTTCATTTAAATCTGCTGAAATGCTAAGAATTGATATCTTGAATTTGGGAGTTTTTAATTCCAACAAGCAAAAATTTTTCGTAATCTCACGAAATTTGCCGGTAAATTCCGGAAAAATAGAGTATAATTCATGCCCTGGAAAGTATATCATATATTTATATATTGTACTGAACAAATAAAACAACATTAATAAAAAATAAAGACAATAGATTCTTTTAAATTATTATAATGGTTATTAGAAATCATATATGGAAAATTCTAAGAAATATTGAGTTAAAAGTTGTAAGGAAAGTGCTAAAAATTATAGCGATGCGATGTAAGAAATCTTAATAATAATAGATATATTAATGTACCGGCTCGTGGCAATGACAAATGTCAATGTCAGAGAGATAATAATTTCGATGAAAATAAATGTTTTAACAATACACAGATATAAAGATTCGGGCTAAATTATTTTTTTAGTTTTTCTTATAATTTTTGATTTTTTTGCATGTTCTTAAGTGCACCCAAACTATTTGATATAGTACCGGACAGCATAAACCATCCAATTTTAATAACTTGATAATCACAGATTGATAATGATTTACTAATATAAAATAAAGAATTCTGATTGGTCAAATTAATTATTATGTATAAGATCTACAAAAATTTTGGCGTTTTTGCGCTGTATCGGGTGGTTTATGCTGTCGGGTACTGTATTTCGCCCAGGTCTAGATATGATGCCAGAAAATTAAGCCTTTTTGTCCTAAATTCCTTAATTGTCCTAAACTATTTAGCCCGAATCATTACACAGATATAAATGCAAGTCAATTCTCGTTATTATGGCGCAACATCTAAAGTCATCAAACGTTTGTGTTTTATAAAATTCTTTTCTAAGAAGTAAATACAAAATTGAATCATAGTAAAGAAGTTTATATGGTGCATAACATCTAAAGTCATCAAACGTTTGTGTTTTATAAAATGTATAAACTTCTTTACAAAGAAATTTTAATCCGTGAATATGATAGAATAGGCCCTTTCTGAGCATATTCACGGATTAAATTTTGTATTTACTTCTTTATAAAGAAGTTTATACATTTTATAAAACACAAGCGTTTGATGACTTTAGATGTTATGCACCATACATTTTATAAAATGCAAACGTTTGATGACTTTAGATGTTATGCATCATAGAATTATTACGAACAAATCCTTTTGCTTTCTGATTAGTGAAATAAATGTGTGAATCTCGATATAAAGACGCATTTTATTCTCCCTCTTTCACGTGATTTTCTTACCACGTGAAAGAGATTGAAGAATCAAAAGTTAAAAGGGACAAAGATTTAAATAGTTAAAACACTAACGTAAAGGTTATTCATTAAAATTTGCACGTAATATGTCTAAAAAAGTATGGAAATATACGAAAATCTGTAAAAGACACGTAACCAATAACTTTTTATGTGTGTTTTACAGATTAACACGTAAATCGCGCATGTAAAAGACTACAAGACTTTTTCGTATTTTTTCAGATATATATTTCTTATGGGGATTAAGCAT